TATGTATGTATGTATGTATGTATGTATGTATGTATGTATGTATGTATGTATGTATGTATGTATGCGGGTGCATATGCATATATGTGTGTTCGATTTTTGTCACCCACATTCAACTCAGCAATCACAGAAGTTAGGAAACTGAAATTTCACAAGGATGTTCCTTGTTTATGTACGAAGCAAACGGCTTACAATCAAACACGTACACTTGAGTTTTTCCTAGTATTTTTCAGTTTCTAGTTTGGAAGAAGTCTTATAGTAGTCTAGAAGTGCCAACGTACATACATACACACATACGTATGGCGAGATTGGTGTGTCAGCACATACCAGCTACATCTCGAAACTGCTAAGTCCTTGCTAAGAGTTTGAAGCGATATTTTCAAGCTAATCGTCAGAAGCGATATTTTCAAGCTAATGCAGCATTCATATTTATTTCTGATGTTTTTCTTGGAGTTTTGATTCGCGTCCTGTAATAACGAGCTTTTTTTTCTAGTACTTCTCTTTTTAACGTGTTATTTTCTGTTCCAGGCGAAACGTCTGAAATCTCGGAAGAAACGAGTGCCCGTATAATGGAATGTCGGGACCGAGTAATTGCTGCCTTATTTGCCTTTTATAGATCCATTGAATTTCCCAATTATGCTGGTATTTAAATTCATTCGACTACTTTTTGCTGCGAAAATTTTGTTTTAACTGAAAAAATACGGAACTTCTGAGCTGATTGTGATTCTTGAGAGACGAAACGACGTTAGGGTTACTGGCAAACTGACCACTAGGCAATGCAGTACTGGTGAAAATAACTGAAATTGTCAGTTGCATAAACGCAAAACCTAGGCAAAGAGTTGCACTAAAGTTTAGTATTTTTAACATTTTTGGTGCTAAATTTATCGATTTCGGGTATCGAATTTTACCGCATTTAAGATTTTCTTAATTTTTAGAGTAATTATAATCGAATCTATGCTTGAAGTGACTGTATAAGCTAGTAGCCAAATTATCTCTAAACCTTCTTTAAACTTCCCAATCCCTAAAAAATTCTTAACATGACGTTCAGGCTAAAAATTCATCAGTTCTGCTGTCGGAATTTTTTAAGGGATAAATTTATTTGCAAAAAAAATGTTTGAATGGTGGTTTCATCCAGCACGACTGATACGAGTAGAAAAATTTACGCAGAAAAATTTTCAAATCAGTGGAGGCTGAAATCGATGGCACGTTCCTTGGCTTCACCACTGGAGAGCGATCCGAATATAGATCATTCGTGAACTAGTGGCCACTTCAAGTATTCAATTGCCAAAATATAGTGCTCGGAAACAGTTTTTTGATAAAAGCGATGTTTGGAATAACAATAGAAGAAGGGATAACAAATAGGCGAAGTTTGAAAGAATAAGTAATAGAAGGAGAATATTGCACAACGAATTTATAAA